GATTAGACCACCTTCCAACTGGTCCCTCTGCTTTTATCCTTGCTCCCTCACCATCTGTTTTCAACCTGGCAGCAGACCATGAGTCAAATCATTTCACTCCTCTGCTCAAAACCATATAACAATGGTTTGAAGCCCATCACCATGTTAAAAAGCCATGACTTCATAAAGATACTAAACAGCAAAGAGGAACCTTATTGGTGGCCTTTGGAGAATGCCAGGCAACCAACTCATTTTCCTGACAATCCATCAATGAAAGTAAAGAATCAAATATTAAAGGGAGGAGTAAGGGCACGCGGTCAACACATGGCATATAGGAAGAGTCAGAGTCATTTTCCAGAACTAACATTACTTCAGAAATACCGTCGCTGAGGGGAAGTGTCCAAGTGAGCCAGCTGATGGCTACAGCAATCCCCAGACTGACCAACTAAGTCGGGTGCCTGAACATGGCCAGAGCCCTCCCTCATCAAGGTGATTCAGACACGAGCCATCTCAGGCATGGCCTTGTTTTGGGAATCTCACAGGAGAGTGGGCATGTGATAAAAAGCCACAGGGGCACCAGAGACCCCACATCCACACACAGACATATATCCACTTACTGTGCGTTTGCATCTCCGCACAATCCCTGTCTCACAGTTCTTCTTCCAGAATCAAAGGTGATAACAGGAGTATTATAAAGCAGCTAGTGCCTATCATCCAGGCTGCCTGGGTTCCCCCTCAGGCTCCACCATACACTAGCTGATGCTCCCACAAAGAATTAGTCATGAGTATCCTTTACGATATCACGTGTGTTCACATGGCTACTTCCTGTGTCATTCTGGAATTCTACCTATATCATTGCTATGCCACTGAGTACATGGCAACAGCATCCCTGCTATGGTAGGGAAAGAATGGGGTGACAAGTAAACAAGCACTTGCTCAGCGGCAACCAACAGTTGCTCAGTGTTGGGCAGACTCACTAGATTTCTTATATGGAAATTCTTAGTTCATACTTTGAGCCATGGCTACATATTTATTGTTATTGGAATATTATATGCATTTATATTAGAATATTATTATTCTAAAATCAGAATTGTAAGATTTTAAAATTAAATATTGTAAATACTTGCACTCTCATCATTTAAATTGTTCAGGTAGTTCAACCTTGTTTACACACTAGACCACTTGGGGAGATTGAGGAAACCACTAGCACCAGTCTACATCCAGAACAATTAGAGCAGAATTGGAGGCAGACCCAGGCAACCACATTTTTAAACTCTTCATGTGATTGCAGTGTGCAAGCACGTTTGAAAACCACTCTGTTAAAAAGCATCAGCTTTTGGTTTCTGCTTACCAGAAGACCCTAGGAATGGCTGCCACCTCATCTTGCTGACTTCCCACTCTGTGCTGTTTTGGGCACCTCATGATTCTGTTAGCTTAGAGCAGGGACTGAGAAACTGTGGCCCATGGGCCAAACTTGACCTGCAGCCTGTTTTTGGATGGCCTGCAAGCTAAGCATGGTTTTTACATATTTGAATGGTTGAAAAAAATCAAAACAAGAATATTATTTCTTGACACCTGAAAATTATTTGAAATTCACATGTCCGTGTCCATACATCAAGTTTTATTGGAACGTAGCCATGCTGCGTCTATGGCAGCTTTTGCTCTACAACGGCAGATATGAATAGCTCCATCAGAGACCAAAAGGCCTGCAAAGCCTCAAATGTTTATAATTTGGCCCTTTCCAGGAAGTTTGTTGAGCTCTGGCTTAGACCAAGTGTCCTAAACCAAGTACACAGTATCTGTGGTAAATGGCTGGAGATCCCGTTGGCTAAGCCCAGGAAGAAGATTAACTGTAGTTACTTGTGACTTGATTGTAGGGTCTTTCTTCAGTAGTCCATTCGTTCATGGTGTTGTGGGTCAGGTGTGGGAGCTGAGTAAGGGACCAACATTTGCCATCAAGATGGCTCAAGTTGCCAGATCTAGTTTTATTTATTTATATTTTGTGTTCTTATAATTTATTATAAATAAATATTCATTTATATTTTATTTATTTTTACACTGATTAAATGCAACTTTAGAGAATGTTCAGGTATTTCAAGATCCAAGGGATGTGTTGATCAGTTAGCCACCTTCAAATGTTACTGGAGGTCAAACCAATGTGACTGCCCTTCCATCATTGCTGCCTATTAAGGTAACAGCACTCACCCTGACCCGGGAGGTTAAGTGCTTCTACTTGGCCTGTGACTCCAGGATCCCAACATCCCCACTGAAATGAGGGAGACCATGTCAATGGCAGGATCTCCCATCTCATCTGTGGCCTACACAAGTCAGCCATATCACAACACTTCAGAGGTAAAGATGCCCTCCTCACCAATACGTGTCTCAACACCGTGGGAGAGGAGTGTCCTCTGAGTCCCTAACAGCAGCTGCTTGGTCCACTGACACTGACTTCAAAGGCATTTTAATTCAAGTGACCACAGGTGATAACTTTTGCAACTCTTTCACCATTGTGTGCCACGGAATACCAATATTTCATCCTCTCATGTCAACTGGACCCTTAGTATCTTCAGATCCACATAGATCACACAACCTATCCCAGATCCTCATTTCCTTCAGGGCCCTATGCTTGCAATCAATTTTGGTGTCAAGCGCTCTATTAATCAAGGTTTCCACTTGCCTGTGACAGAATTCATTCTTTCTTTTTTAGAAAAATAAGATATTTTAATAAAATATATTACATAGCTTAAAAAACTCTGTGAGGGCCAGAAAAGCAGGGTTGGATGTTGCACACCCAGGGGAAGCTCACTCTCACTATGGGACTGTTACAGCTGAAACACCACTGCTGCCTGCCCGCTACTTGTCATGTATGACAGAGACTGAATCCTAGGCGTCTGCTATGGCTACTCCACACAACCCAGAGACCTCTCCCATCACACATCACTGACCATGTCATGGAGCCATATGTGCCTCCCATGTCATGCAGTTACACCTCCAAGTCTCAGGTTGGTGCCTATGCTTGATACAACCGAGATCCCATTTGGGACCCTAGCTGCAAGGGGCTCTGGTTAATGTGTGTATCACACACACACACACGCGCACACACATGCACACACCCTAGTTTCCTTTCATGTTTTAAGCTTTCTAGTCTCTATAGAACAGGAAAGCATGTAAGAGTGTTTACGAATGTTGGAATAGTTGTCAAGGGAGCCGATTCACAGTTTATTTCACAGAATGTTATCATTTCTGGTTTCGTAAATGATATGTTCAGAATGAAAATGGTACTTTCTAGTTGTTACAATTGTTTTGTGTGTATTGGTCTTACACCCAAACTTATTATTCTCTATTTTTAATTTTAATTTTATGTAGCTTCTCTTGAATTTATATGAAGATAACCATATCGTATTGACAGCTTTGTTTATTGTAACTTGTATACACTTATTTCTTGATGTAGTATATATGCATGTATGTATTTTGGCTTACTGTACTGCTTAGGAGACGCAGTATGATGCTGGAGGGAAGTGGTCATATGAGTCATCTTTGTCTCTTTTCTGATTTTAAAGGGAATGCTTTTAATGTTTCATTATTAAGTGTGATGTTTGATGTAGTTTGTTCTTTTTTAACACTTGTTTTCAGTTTAAAGAAATATCTTTCCTTCATTAATTGCTGAGAGTTATTATTGTTGTTGTTTAATCCTGATTGGTTGTTTGATTTTTTGTATATCGTTTTTTTACTGGATATTATGTGATAATCGTCCTTTCCTTCTTCGTTTATTCCACTATGTGTTAAATTGTGTTATGGATCTCCTAATGTTAAACCAACATTGCATGCTTGGGATTAAACACAACTTTGTCATGCTGTATTACATGTTTTAGCCATTGCTGGATTTAGTTTGCTATTCATTTATTTATACTTTTTTGTGTTTATGTAACTAACTGAGATTGGCTAATAATTTTGCCTTCTCATGTATTCCTTGTCAAGAATACTTTTAACAATATTAAGATTTTCTATTTTTTCAGTATGGAAAGTTATATTTTTTCTGGGATTTATCTATTTAACCTAAATTTTAAATTTACCAGCATATCTTTTTCATATTATCTTACTTCTTAAATCTCTGCTGTAACTGTAAGCATGTAAGTGTAAGCTTTTTCTTTCCCAAAGTGGCTTATCTGCACCTTATCTCTAATTTTCTTGACCCATGTTGCCAGAGGTTTCTTTACTATCCTATTGCTTTAAAGTGCTAACATCTAGCATTTTTGTTGAACTCTGTCATATCTGTTATCAGTTTCATTCTGCTCTTATTTTTATATTTCCCTGACAATAGTGGAAAGAAATGAGATTATTTTTTATTAAGTAAACGATCAATGAACAGTCCTTTCATCTACCATCAGGTTTTATTTTCTAATTTTTATTCTTGAATATAACAGACACTCAAAAGTCCAGTGCATTCATTTGTTTGGAAGACACCTGCAGCTTAGCAATGATGTTGCTTTTAGCCAATGCCTTCAGGTCTATTCAGTTCCACTGTTGTAACATCAGATGATTAAGGAAGAGGGAATTAGAGCATTGAAGTAATGGAATCTCTATTATAAATATATATGAATGTCAGTTAAAAGAATAGCATACAATGTCAAAAGGAGTACAGAGAGAATGTCAACTTTCAAAACATACTTGTCTGGATTCAAATCCTGGCTCTGTCACTTACTGCCTATGTGATTTTAGGCAAGTACTCAATCTCTCTGAGTTTCAGTTCCATCATGCAGTGGTCAGTGGTGCCGTTTGCCAAGTGTTTCCGCTTCTCCCCTGTTCCAGGCACCTGGCAGAACTGCACTTCTTGCATGACCCCCTTTGTTTGAGCAGGGCCGCGTATGTGACTAGAGCTAGCTAATGGGTTGGTGGGGACATGCATCATTTCTGGGCCAGCACCTATGGATGCTGATTTGAGACCCCCCAGGGCCCTCTTCTCCTCAGGCGTAGTGACTGACAGTTTTCTAGATGGCGGCTCCTTTTCAGTTTGAGTCTCTGAGTCATTCCAATAAGAATTGCTCAGACCTCCAACATCCACCATCCTGTGATGGATGTGCACCTGTCATGGACTTGAAGTAGGCATGAGGAATAAGCCACTGAGACTTGGGGATTGTCTATTACCACGGCATAACCCAGCCTCTCCTGACTCATACGTCTCATTTGTAAATTAAAATAAACCCTCTCTCTCTCTCCAGCCAGCCCCATGGCTTAGCGGTTAAGTGCTTGCGCTCCACTACTGGCTGCCCGGGTTCAGATCCCAGGCGTGCACCAATGCACCGCATGTCCGGCCATGCTGAGGTGGCGTCCCACATACAGCAACTAGAAGGATGTGCAACTATGACATACAACTATCTACTGGGGCTTTGGGGAGAATAAAGGGAAAAAAAAAGACAAGAATTGGAAATAGAAGGTAGCTCAGGGCCAATCTTCCTCAGCAAAAAGAGGAGGATTGGCATGGATGTTAGCTCAGGGCTGATCTTCCTCACAAAATAAATAAATAAATAAATAAATAAATAAATAAAAATAAACCCTCTAAGGATTTTTCTGAAGATTAACTGAGTTAACTTATATGACAACGTTATCACAGTGCTTGAAATATAATAGAGACTCAAAACATGGCAGCTATAATTTTTCAATAAGAATAACAAAACTGTTTTAAAAAAAAGTGTGGAATATTTGTATAAAATGAGAGGCATTGTGTCTGCTGATCCTGATAGATAAGTTGTATCTTGCTTTCTAGACGGTGGCAATATATTTACTGCCACAGGTAAGAATTCCTAATGATTTGCACTTATGCACTTATTTTTGCCACCACGCTATCAGAAACACGCTTAGAAATTGGGGTTTTCTCTGAAGAATGAAAAGCTGAAAAGATTTAAGCAGGAGACAGACTGGCCAATAAGACAAGATAAAATGAATGAAAGAGCAATAAGTAATTTCTTAATGTAAAGAAGAGTAGGTTATAAATATTATAAACACACATTCCAATGCTCTTAGTAAACAAAGGCACAAGGTTTTAAAGTGGTAGAGGATTTAGTTTAGACAGGGTTTCTCAGAATATTTTATGAAGGATTCTTGATGCTCTGTGGAAAAATGTTCCATTCCCATATAAGTTGGGGAAATTATCCCTACCTTTGAGATTCATATTACTTATTAGCATATTCTCTAAAAAATTCCCACTGTATGGAAATTCATTTACCTTCAGTCCTGTTTGTCCCATGCTTCTTTAAAGTAGAGTACATTTTTGCTGTTGCTGTTTCTTGGCCTTAGTGTTCTGCAGAACAAACTTGGAAATGCTGAAATGAGAGAAAAATAAAGTGAATTATTTAAGCCTCATGTAATATAAATATCAAAAGTGACAATATTCTTGAACCATGTGTCAAGAAGTACTTAAATCCCCCATCAATGTAAGCACAATCTTGCTATTTGCTCACTTTTATTCATTCAATACCACTTTCAAGATGTACCAAATGTGAGTATCACCTACGATTTGACCTAATATTTTCTTAAATCAACTATTATTTTCCACGTGAGGGAAAGGAGGGAGTTTTCAAGGAGTCTAAGAAGCAATGGTTAGGAAATCAGGGGGCAAACCAGAAACGGATAGTGTCTGATTGAACTACTTTAAGCCATTCAGAGATCCTAACCACAAAAGAGGTTGTTGCCCAGCTCCCAGATGTACTTTGTAAAACTACTGAACTTCAAATTAAGTATAAGAAAGTAAGTCTGAATCTTCACAGCATGGCTACTTTGACACTTTTACTGAAATATCAAATTCTCAAAAATAAATTCTCTCTCTCTCCTATCCTCCCTCTTTCCCTCTGTCTCCCCTTCCTTCTCCTCCCCTTTCTATCTCCCTCTAGCTCTGCTTTGCTTCTTTCT